TTAATCCCCTGTTGTTCCCTGCTAGAGCTGGAAGCTCAGCCTGAGAAATCCTTCGTGTTTCCCCTGATGTTCTCTGCTGTGAGCTGGAAGCTCAAACCAAGGACTGCCAGGCTAAGCCTGAAGCTAAATGCTTAGCCTTTCATGAACTCTGCTAAACATTCAGTCACCACTCACAGTACTGTCTCCAGTGAACCTGCTCCCCTGCCTGAACCAGTCCCCGTTTCATATCCATGTTTGTTCCACAATAAACTCTTTTGGACTTTTAACCCAGTTTCCCGTGTATGTGGTCTGCATCTTGGGCTTAACTATAGTAACCCATCATGACATTTATATCCTTTCATATCACAGCACTAGGGAGATATTATTATATCTAAAATGGCTATAGAAATCAAAGGTAGTATCCCCCTTAATAATTTGTTTAGGATTGGTTTAAAATACAAACTGGTGGATTAGATGTCGTGAATAATTTTGATAAGTCAAAGCTCAGCTGGATCAAAATTGTCGAAACCCAATTCAGGTTTCATAGTTGGCTTAGAGGCAGTGGTCTTTGATCTCCCTCCATCACAGAGAGGACAGGACTCTGCAGGATCGCTGATCCACCTCAACACAATAGCCAAAGTCCATCATGGGGAGGAGTAATTTTGTCCAATGTCAGTCTCTGTTGTGTTTTTTCGACACCATCTCCCATGCCACTCTCCTCAGTCGACTATCATCCATCGGTATCAGCCGCACCCCTCTAACCTGGTTCACTTCATACCTCTCAGATAGGACACAGTTCATACAACTCAAATCTCATAAATCCATCTACTTCCCTGTTTCTGCTGGTGTGCCCCACGGTTCTGTCCTGGGGCTCCTCTTGTTTATTATCTACATCCTCCCTCTTGGCTACATCCTCCGTAAGCATCATATCAAATTCCACTGCTACGCGGACGGCACCCAGCTCTACCTTTCTACTCAACCATCTGCCTCACTCCCACCAATCTCCCTCACCCTCTGTCTCCAATAAATCCATTCTTGGTTCTCATCCAACTTCCTCAAACTGAATAGCTCTAAAACCGAAGTCCTCCTAGTAGGCACACCTCACACTCTCTCCAAAGCTAATAACTTCTTGATTACCATCAATGATTCAACTGTCCTCCCCTCCCCTCAGGTTAAGAGTGTCATGATGGGTTTCTGGATGCTAGCCTATATGCAGAACACAACTAAGAGACAGG